CTACGGTGCGTAGCTGAAAAATTCAAAGCATTCATGATAGATCACATCTGGGTGCTGCCTTTCACAAAGGGCTGCTCTCCATCACCGGGGCATCAAAGCAAAGCGGAGAGAGAGAGAGAGAGAGAGAGAGAGAGAGAGAGAGAGAGAGAGAGAGAGAGAGAGAGATTCGGATCTTTTATTTGCTTCCCTGTTTCTGCCTCCAAACATTTGATCAATCCTTAATGCAACATATACTGTATTAGTAACCGAGTCACAGAAAAGAAGGCTGAAAGTGAATAAGGGTCACACAGACAATGAAATTGGCCGGCCTTTTTCTTCTTTTTCGCAGGCGCCTGAGTTACAGTGGCACCCTTCCTCTTCTTGGACTCGGCCTCCGCCGTAACATTCTTCGCGAAGGCCTTCTTCTTCTTGTCAATTGAAGCTAGGACCTCGGCGAGAACCGCGCGCTCCCGGTAGATGGTCCCGAGCTCCTCAAAAACACAATTAAGCCGCGGCATGGTGCCTGCCACGGCTCTCCGAGACATGTACTCACGCTCATAAATTTTGCCAACCAACCCGACGGTGGCCTCCTCAACGTCGGCAATGAAGCTGTCCTCCGTCACCCCCTCCCCTAAAGACCGGCCAAAGCGGGGGAAAGGAATCCCGGCCTCCGGACCAAAAACAGGAATCTTCACCTTTTCCAGCTGAAAGGCCGGGTTGTCCTTGCCCAGGGGCCAGTAGTTGGAGGCCATAATCTCCTCCACCAGGTCGCGGCCCCCGGAGTAGCGGCACGCAGCCGCAAAAGCCCGGTCGCAAGCCTTCCTCGCCGGAGACTCTTCCTCCGGCGGTTCCACGCGCGTATGTGGTGCCATCACCTCCATTCTTGAAGTCAATGGATACTCCACGACCTCCGCACCATCCTCGGTAGTGCCGCGGACCCCGTAGGTCTTCACGTAGAACCACTGCTCAAGCCAGCCGCGGTCCCACTTGCCCTTCTGGCAAAAAGAAAGCTCTAGGCGGTCTACGCCCTGGTTCCTCTTCGACATAAAGGTGCAACTACCATACTGGTAGGTCACCTCCACCTCCTTGCCCTCCCACACCTCCTTCTTCTTCGGCTGCTTCTGCAGCTCGTAGTACGCACAGAAGGTGTCCACATCCGGCTCGGCACCATAAGAAACACACGCCCAACAAAATTTGCTGAGCGTAAGGAAGGCCGTAGGGGTCAGATGGTGAACCTGGACGTTGAACGTCTCCAACACCCGGCGGAGGAAGGGGACGTAAGGAAGGCGGAGGCCGCGAGTGAAAAATCCGAAACACCATCAGATACCCCTCCTCCGGCCCGGGCGGTCTGGCCGGGCGGAGGATTTTACCCTCGAAGAAGGAAAACCCTTCAACATCTCCGCGACCGCCTCTTCAGTAATGGAGGAGGGGCCGAAATCCCATGACTTTATCGCCATGTCTCTGGAATCCGCAGCGATCAGGTCTCCGAAAGACGCAGAGACACTCCCCAAATCCTCCTCCACTAGCTTTTCAAATTCCAACGCGGAGGCGGAGGCAAGCATGCACTCCTCAAAGCGCACACTCCAGCCGACAGCCCTAACGCCGAGAAGGTGGCGATAGGGTCCGAAGAAGGCGGGCCGGCGAGTATGGGCGGAGGCGGAAAAGGAAGCCACCGCGGCGGCAGCCTAGGCGGAAGACGAAAGCGGAAAGACGGAACGCGCAAAGGCAGCTCAGGCGAAACCGAAGAGAGCAGAGAACGATTTCTCAGAGGCAAGGAAAGCGAATGAGCAGTGCGGGGGGGGACCCCGCAACCAACCCCGCCCTTATATAGGACGCGGGTGGGCGGTTCGGCTACCGCCGTACAACGGCCATCTCCGGACAATTCGCCTGCCGCCCAACGGTCATCTCCGAAAAAGTCGCAAGGTATACAACGGAAAGCAATACAGCGTAAACGGCCACAGCGTAGGACAACGGCTAGTTTTACAGCCTAACGGCTACTATGACAAGACCAGCGGCCACGCTAGAGCGGGCCAGGGGGGAACCTGCGGGGATCGGTCGGAGACGTGACTACGTGCAGTCTCCGCCCCCGCAGACGTCCTTGCTTAGGACGTTTTGAGTTCACGACACGCTCGGGCGGACAGTGGTCTCAAAAGGGGGGAACTGTTGTAACACGGCCTCCGAGGGTGGCGGAGACCTGCGCCGCCAGCAGTTGGCAGAGACGTCTCCGACCGACTACCTAAGCAAAGGCCCGGCTACCACGCCTCCAGACTCAGAAAGATGACGGTTTCTCAGACCGCTTGCAGGACGCTACCGGTGACCCTGGCGCAGCCTCCGCCCGGTTAGCTCGTAGGCGTCTCCAGCCGGAGGGGGCGGAGGCCGCCCCGCTGCAAGGCTAATCAAGTGCAAACGTTATCTACGTGTGTGTGTGTGCAGGTAACCAGAGGAAGGCGCTCGTGGACGGCGCGGGCGCGCCGGTTCGGCCTCCGCTCGCAGGGGCAGAGACCCAAGCAGGAGGACGACAATACTGGGCGTCGGGGGTCTGCGGCCTCGGCGTCCCAGGGGCGGAGACCGATGGCGGAGGCCCAAAGGCCCATCGCCGAATCCTGAGACCTGATGGCGGTAAGATAAGATTACCCCCGAGAAGAAAGGTGAGTAGTGGGATATTCCAAGAATTACTGAAGCAGTTGAAGGTTACTATTGTAAACTCTGTGAAAGTGGTAGTTGAGCCCTATAAATAGGGAACACTTTGTAACAGTACGGGTGGTTGGTGAATGAATTAATGAAACCCTAGTTTTACGTACCATTTCCCTACACACCCGCTTGTCGTGTCCGTTTCCCGAGCCTCAGCCTGAGGGCAGCGCCATGGGCGGAGGCCTCCACCTCCTCCACATTATGCGAGACCGCAAGTCTCAACATATTAGTGTGTCAAAAACATTTTGTTCTGAGTGGCAGATATGCTTCGTGTTGTGGATGGTTTCGTCCAAGAGGTGATTAGAGGAGACAAAACGGGGCGTACCCTTGCGGTGCTGACTGTTTGATGCTTTTGGAAGCTAAGGAAGACAGTTATCTTTTGGGATTGTTGGAGGTCAGCACAGGCACTGCTCTAGGAGAATAAGGACTCTAGCTACTACTGGCTTTTAGTAGGAGGGGCAACTCTCAAACCTGTAATGGTCGGCCAACTAGGTAGCGCGTAATTAGCTTTTATAAACCAAAACCTCTGCAGCCTAGGCTGCAGTAGGGAGCGCTGCTCACGCATGTAACCAAGTGTTGTATGCTACCTTCTTCTTATTATAAATCAAAGCCGGGCAACCGGATCTTTGAAAAAAAATCGTTATTATATTACGATGGACCTATGCTTAGCTCCCATGAATATTGTTTTATTACTAGCTGTGTGTTTAGGGCCCAATTTAAATTTAGCCAGGATCACCAGCAAAATTCAGGGACAGACCGTAGTCCAACATTCAAGCAGTGTGAGCGGTGATCTGGATGTCGCGTGATTCGGGTGACTCACTACGCAGTTTCAGGTGACGTGGATCAGATCACTGGTCGACACGCTGTGTACGTGTATCCTTTCTCTTCCTTTTGCAGTGTGGGACGAATCATTCATGCGGCATGCTACGGTGCGTAGCTGAAAAATTCAAAGCATTCATGATAGATCACATCTGGGTGCTGCCTTTCACAAAGGGCTGCTCTCCATCACCGGGGCGGCATCAAAGCAAAGCGGAGAGAGAGAGAGAGAGAGAGAGAGAGAGAGAGAGAGAGAGAGAGAGATTCGGATCTTTTATTTGCTTCCCGGTTTCTGCCTCCAAACATTTGATCAATCCTTAATGCAACATATACTGTATTAGTAATCGAGCCACAGAAAAGAAGGCTGAAAGTGAATAAGGGTCACACAGACAATGAAATTGGCCGGCCTTTTTATTAATTATAATTGTTGATGATGCATATAGTTCTGGATTCCTGTATGGTTATAATAATTCGTAATTTTTTAAAGACTTCATAGGGATTCAGAGCTTCCCAATCCACTCCATTACCCTCCAATCCCCATGCACCTCATCCAATCGAAACTCACCCTGCTAAGCCTGCAGAAAAATTTGGTATACTTAGCCAACTGGTCGTGGTCAGTAGTGTTCACCTTCCGGTAAAAGAGATCACTAAAGAAACAATTGCTGATGTCTCTGATGACACGGGCGAGTGATGGACCGGCTCGGCGCTGGAAGGAAAGTAGTTTGCCGTGGTCTAATTATTTTTTGTGCAACTAAGGCAATTCGGCTACTGGGTACTTTGGTAAACAATTTGAAACTTACACTCAACAAACATATATAGGTATGTATTGTTGAATCTGCTTTGCCTCACTACTCTTAGGTAGCAAAATGATAGTTCCAAAATTTAGGCTGTGAAGTGGGAGTAAACCTCTATGGAAATCTTCAAATAAGACCATTAAATCCCCTTTGATTACATTCCAAAATACTTTATAAAATTTAGCCGGAAATCCATCTGGATCCGGAGCTGAATTATGATTCATCGAAAAAATAGCATCATAGCATCCCTCACATCATTCTCAGAGAACTTTTGTACTAAGATTACATTTTCTTGTTCAGTGACCTGAGCGATATCCGCCCTTAGGGTGGCATCCATTGAGACAATCACACGAACGATATCTCTGGTGGCCCAAATAGGTTCTTATGGTATTTGGTGATATACTTTTTCAATTCCTAATCACACCCTCCTCTTGTTCTAGTAGAAAATTTGTAGTTTTTCTATGTTTTGCATTAGCCACTAAGTGAAAGTACTTTGTGTTTGCATCACCCTCTAATAAAGTTTTTACTTTTGCCCGTTCATATATACAATTTGATCCCTTCTTCTCTCAATAGGCACGCGTTAATTAAGAGAGGTTATATATATAGTGCCTGGCCGCTCACTCTGCTGCTACTCTTCTATCTCGCCAGCAGAAGCAGCAGTGCCTCCCCGCTGTCGCCCCTGCTCTAATCTGCTCGCATAAGCAAGTCTCGATCGGCAGGATGGACCCTCACCTGCAGTTCGTACTCCTTAGCATCCTGCTGTTGTGCTGCCTCATTAGGGACAATTCCTTTGGAAGCAGGTGCGTTGTTGTGGACTTTGAGCATCACCCGCCAGGGTTCGGATGGTGCAGAGATCTGGGGATATGTCGAAGTCCGCAAGGGTAAGTAACACATATGAAAGTGTATACACACACACACACACACACACACACACACACACACACACACACACACACACACACACACACACACACACACACACACTTGCTTTATTTCCGTATATATAAGCTTTGATTTGTTGTTGCCTGCGCTGAATTGAAGCAATAATGCAAGCTCGATCATATCACCGTTGCAGGTGCCTACCTTTTCTGGAGCTACTACAAGAGTCCCCACCGTGTGTCGTCGCCAGAGAAGCCATGGCCGACCGCCTTCTATGCGGTACGATCGACTATCATAATCATCTCGATCATGGCCAATAAGTCTATCTAATTATGTGGTATTCGTGTTGCAAGTTGCAACACATACATGTGTAATAATGCAATATATTTGTTTAGTTGTGTGCGTTAATTTGCTCATCGATCAGGCGCCCGACGCAAGCTTGGGGCATGACAACTCGACGTGGCTGCACAATGCAGACCTTCTCGTCGTGGTGCGTGCCTTCGTAGCCTCTCCTCTTAGCTTAATTGTTCTTTCATGCTTCCTCCATTGCTGGGCTAGCTGCTGCTGGCCATGGTGCCTGATACCTAGCTCCATTTCATAAGATTAAGATGCATAATATGAATGCTATATCCACGGCATGCATGCAGGACACCCCGGTGGGCACCGGCAACAGCTACGAGGACGACGCAAGCAGCAGCGGCAACGGAGTGTGGAGCATGGCCCAGACGACGTTCCCGCTGCTCCGTGGGGCGTTCCTGCAGGCGGCCGCGGACATCCTCGTGCTCCTCAGGGCACCTACGCTGGCAGGATCAGCACCGTCGTCGGACTAGCCATCCGGGCTGGCGCACTAAATAATCTTACGCTCGTATCCGGAGGTAATATATAATCGTCATACACACACACTGCGGCACCATCTGTTCATGCATATATAACTAACTCTCTTTGGATCAAGTAGCTCACCATTTGAGTTTTGACGGTTACATATAATTCTGGATTATATTAGTTGGTTTCGTCAATGAATTAGATACTCCTTGGGCAACAATTAACAGGACTGGTGGAGAGGTTTGAGTCGTTTGACGGCAAAACCACGCCAGAACAACACCGGATTTTAGATCCACGGTAAAATTAACAGCACATCTTTTAGCTCTGTTGGACGCAACCGTAACATGCATATTCAATTCAAAATTTTGTTCCCAACAACATGTGCTTTATTTGAATCCATATTTTTGCATGCAGTCCTCGTATATGTGTAGCTCATCCACCTGAGCCGCCGATCTTAGGAGCTGAGCACAACTCCACAAGTAGTCTGTGGTATTATGTATGCATGTAATACTTGTTGTGTTGTACTCCACAGGCAGAGTACAGTATTAATTAACGGACAATTAGAACTCTGCTAGCTAGCTGAGGCAACTTATGGACCCTGTCTTATTATATTAATGTAGTCGTGTTGACATGCTGTAATATATAAGTACTAGTTTCCTTATTTTATTTTATTGCGAGATGTATTTTGCTTTCATCGAACGGAAAGGAAGAAATGACAGCCACTGTGCATTATTACAATAGGTTTCCAAGGTAGACGTAGAAACAGCTTTGGTATACCATTGGTAGCAATGCTTTTGGTAGCAATGGTAGCATTGCTTTTGAAAGCCAAAGAGACGGAGGGCGCGCGCATGATGAAGGTTCCTATTTTTCGCAAGCTTTGTGTGCTAGCTAGCTTGCATGTGTCCCTTTAAATGAAAACATGACATGCTAGAGAGATTAAACCCTTGAACAGCTCCAGGATTGCTTGCATTATGCATGGTAATCAGCAAGGAAATAATCTATATAAAATTCTCTTATTTTTTAGTTGGTGTAACTGTCTTATCCATGAGCTATGTGATTTACACATTGGAAGGGATGTAAGCAGTGGCACAATTACGGATAAACAATAATGTCACACAATATGTATTGCATGCATCAATACAAAGTGCAAAACACCTGCAAAAGCCATTAAATCACTCTTGGGTCGGTCAATATAAAATCTCGGTTAGGATCATGCATGTCCTAGTTCTTTCTCTAGCAAAATATCTGAAGGCAAGGCACATGCATGTCCTCTCACACGTACTGCACTGTACGTGGTTATGATTTCAATAAAAAAAAAAAGATGAATACACGTCTGTCCACACGCTAAAGGGAATACTAGCTAGCAGCTAGAGGCTGACTAAGGGAAGATGTGAAAGAAAGTTTCGTCCCACTCCAGCTTGACTTGTCACAATCACTGCAGCAAGCCGGCCATGACTAGGCAGGTGAAGCCAGAGCATAGGGTCTAACTCGAACGATGCCTAGCTTTTTTAACTACTCCCTCAATCCCAGAAAAAAATTTGTTTTGAACATGATTTAGATACTAAGGAGTGATTAATTGGGGTGTATTTTTTTCTGTCTGTCCTTATTAAATAGGGTTGTGGATAACATTCAAACAACAAATGTTCGTAGCTGGAGTGGTAGGCGTGCCTCCTCTGGAGGCTGGATGGCACGGTTCTTTCCCTACTGGCCGTGGTATTTTTTGCAGAGCTCGAGAATTTTGCATGCACTGTGCGGCTCGTATTGGCCTTGCATGCCCTGGCCGCGTTAATTACTCCCTGGAACTGCGCTGCTGGCCGCGTTAATTACTCCTGACGCGGGGGCAAACGTGCGGCTCGTATTGGCCTTGCATGCTGCAGTGAGTTAGATCACTCATCCTTTTGGATGGAGGGAGTATGTTAGATCACTCGTCCTTTTGGATAACGGGCATGTTTGTTTGTTTGTTAGCAGCTAGCTGCTGGCCAGGACATGGGCCATCACGATGCAATGGGACAGTGGAGTTCGAGTTAGTCTTAATTTCCAGTAGGGAGGAGCAGCTAGGTAGGACTAGGTTAGAGAAGGAGAGGGGGTTCATGTAGGCGTGTGTGAAATCTCATGGACCACCGACCTCATGAACATGATCATTCAGTGGAACTGGCCCTCTTTATCTCATGTCACAACTTTGAGCAGCACAATGGGCAATGCTGCATACTTTGCCTTTTGGTTTCTTTTCTCTTTGTATATATATGTGCACTGATACATTCTGGTTTTATGTATTCATGTATCTGATCATGTATCTGCTCATGTATCTGCTTTAAGCCCTGGTACCTAGCTAGGGATCATCGGCAGATTAATTTAATCCTTCAATTGTATCTGCTTTCTGCACATGTAATTTGTTTCTTGCGCAAGCATAAAAACCTCGAGTGCAGTCGAAAGCATCTTCTCATGGCTTTTCCCTTTTCTATGAAGGCAATCATGGCCCTGTGCTTATACTTGGTGTGGACGCTTGACCAGCTCCATGCATGCAGATTGCATTGGCACGTAGTATGATGGCTGCGGCATGCATTAATCTCTGCAATACATTTCCTACCAGGAAAAGAGACAATATACCCTTCGGGACAGGTATTGGTCGCCATGTCACCTGAAATTTCTTTGTCATTGTCTGGTTAGATGTTTTCTTAACCGAAAAATTCTTTGTCAGAAGTAAAACTAAAGGGTGAAATCATTCAATCCGTGCATTTTTTTTAATTTGTATTGAAGAGTATAGTTTAGCTGGGCCCATGCATTTTTTATTATACAGAATATGAGATCACATATCATATTGGTCGAGCAAAAAAAGGATCATGTAATTATTTTTGCTTCAATCTATTTTAGTACTGTTCGAGTTAAAATAAGATTGTAACCTACTCATGCTTCATTTTATTTACTAACATAAATTTAATAATTTTTAAGTCACTTAGTTTTTGTATATTGCAAATTTAAATATAGAATTAGATTCCACTTTAATTATGTGTTTAGTTTTACTATATATCACCACACCACTGAAATCATCTAGCTTCTTTTTATTTTTCTTTTACAATACAGCTAGGTGCTGCCTACTGTATAACAAATTGATTGTATGGCTGTGTGTGAATGCATATGATTCAGATGCTAACTGTGCATTGACGACTGATTAAATGTTGTAGGGAACCATGAAGCAGATAAAAGATCCGTATCTCATGCATGGTGCTTGATGGTGAACCTTGCTAGCCATATGTTTAGAAGGTTTTTTCCTCTATGTACTGGTACTAAGGCCAGTCTCAACGGCCAGTGTTTCCAAAATTGACACGTCAACGAAAATAAAATGAAACAATGAATGAAACAACCTCAACAATGCAGTGTTTCAAATCAAAGCATTTAATTGCTGCAGGTTGTTGGGATCATATGCACCCTATGAATCATGTAGCCATTTCCAGTTGTTTTCAAATCAAGTACTATATATCAAACTGTTCACAATCAGTACCTGCAGATAGTTGTTTTCACGTTGGCACACTGAAATTCACAGAGCTATTTCCACACATTCTTTCACATCTCAGGCAAAAAGGATAGGAGCATATTCAGGCAAATATAGATAACACTCAGATATATTTTCATTCAGATAAAATGCAGATACATTTTCATTTCAGAGAAAAAAAAAATTCAGATAGCCTATCTCTCTCTCTCTCTCTCAGTTCACTTCTTAAACATTCAGACCAGTAGCAGCAACCATCACTGAAATAGAAGTTAACCATATGAGCTACGAGCTAAGCTTCGAGCAACCATCACTTCATATGGTTGTTTTCACAAGATGGTCAGCTTCACACTGTGCCGCTCTGCTCCGCCACGCCCACGACCTCCTTCTTCAGCCTCGTACAGCTGCGCCTGGAGCTCTCAACCGGATCCATGGCGCTGGATCTAGGCCGCGGCTCTCAACCGGCGCCGCCCGGAGCTCCCAACCTGCTCGCCTCTGCTGTACGGGAAGGGAAAGGAGCAAAGGCGGGGCAGGCGTGGGAAGGATCGGTGTTGCGCGCGCCTGGAGCACGAGATCGCTCGTGATGAAACTTTCCTCCTCAACGCTGGTTTCACGCGGTTTCCCAGGTGTTGGAAATGGTGCATGCTCGTTTCGTGGGGATGAAACGTTTCCCTTCTCTCTCCTCCTCGAAACTTGCAAATATTCTATTTTTGCTGATGTGTCATCTCATTTAATGTGCATGAAACTCCCATGAAATGACCATTGAGACTGGCCTAAGTTGTCTTTGCCATCTCTTTATCTTCATGTGCAAAGAATTGTCTACGCAAAAACACAAAGACAAAGGTCTGATCTACTGGAAACCTATAGATTGCTTTGTTTTGGTCCTGCATGACTTAAGTGCATGAGGAGGCCATGTGTCGTCACACGGGCGGACAGCATGGAGCACGTAGTTGGTTGGTATTGCTGTGCCCATGGCCACCCGGGGGGGCTGAAGAAAACAATTGATGGATGCCAATTAGAAAGCTATAGATGTAGTGAGCATGTGAAAAATTTGCATTTTGGTCCTTTTTGGAAAAGTTTTATTAATAGGCCTGAGCGAAACCATGTCTAAGAAGACCCGAAGCTCGGCGTCATAGGACACTATGCCAAGGTTCGAGGCTTGACATGCATGGTCTCAGACTACACGAAGCCCTACCACGTCAGCTAGGGCGTTGGTCGCCTTTGCCACATAGGACTCAACGTGGCGGTGGGCCCCATGGACCTCGTCACTGGTCCAGTTAATGCCAAGCTACAGACCTCGTTGTGCCCCGACTTGATGATGAGGTTTGGGCACTTAAAAGCCGTGTCTGCCCCCTTCTTCCTCCTATCTCCATTCTATCCTCTGCCGGCATGCTTCTTTCTCTCTTTCCCCTTCGTCTCCACGAGCCCTAGCCCCCAAATGCGGCCCTAGGGAGGCCTCATCTCACTTGTGGATGCTACTCCGAGGTAATTCTCCTTCCCCTCCCCCATTCTGTCCAGTTA